AAAAAATAATTTGAAACCTTTATCAAAATATAATATAATTTTTGTATACCTTTATGAAAAAGTAAAGATGAACAATTTACTACACGCAGAAATTAAAAAAAATTCTAAAAAAAATATCATAGGTAATATTATCAAACTAAGCCTAAATCCCCTCCCCTAACCTGTGCATTCGATCTTTTTCCTTTCTGTCTCGCAGAAAGTGCCAAGAAAAGTGCTTCAAAGGTGCAAGGTTTGATCAATCAAAGTAACTTATATATTCTTATAAAAAAAAAGTAACTTAGATATTATTGTTTCTGTTTTTCATAATAAAAGTGCTTAGTTCTGGCAACTGAGCAATCACTGGCGGCTGAGGAGTCCAAGCCAGCCAAGAAACCTGTAAAAGAGAAGAAACAACCTAGGGTCCCGAACGACAAAAGCCCAAACAGCCAAAAGCTGCTTTTGCAGCCTCCTTATTTCCAGGTACTTCTCCAAATTGGCGATTTAATTGTTTTGTTTACAGGATTGAATATGTGGATTAATGGTGATTTGTGTGCAGATGATTTATGGGTTAGGATTTCTATATATTTTATGCTGGTAGTCAGCCATGTCATTTAAAATACGATTTTTTTTTAATAAATGAGTCTCAGTGCTAACATGGCATCTATGTATGCAAAATATAGCTATGTCATTTAAAAAAACTTACACATTGGATTAACAAAGCAACATCATGTATGTGTCAATGTCCAGGTGCCACGTACCGTATCAATTACTAGTTTTTAATGTACACGCGACCAGCACTTGATCTACCATTGTAATTTTGAATTTTTCATCAGTTATGAATGATGGAGATGTTGATTAAAATAAAAATTAATTTAAGATGTTTAGCATAATAAAAAAAAAAAAAAGAGCATAAGGAACAAATAAGGAGCTTTGGGTTAAACAAATTAACTCCTTGGATATGAAGCTCTTTACTGAAAAGCAACTAATTCTTATGTTTTAACAAAAAATAAAAAAGTATTGCTTTAACCGAACGATTTCAGTAGTAATGAACAGTAACAGTAAACAATTCATCAACAGTAGTAATAAGCAGTTATCAACAGTAACAATAAACGGTTCATCAACAGTAGCAATAAACAGTTCATAAACATTATCAATGCTTTGTAATTTTGTGTGAAAAGATTAATGAACAATTTATCAACAGTAGCAATGCTTCGTAATTTTGTGCGGAAAGATTAATAATCAATTCATCAACAGTTCCTACCAAAAAAGAAATCAATTCAACTGTACTGTAGCAATGCCTTGGATTAATAAACTACGGTAGCAATCTTTGTAATTTTGTGTGAAGAGACCAAAAACCCAGCGCAAAAGGCACGTATAAAGGGCAATTTTGAACATCCGTAAGACTCACCTTTTAAGCTTCTTTGGTTTGATCAGGATGAATTGTCATTGTCATGATATATTTTGTGCGCAAGGATTGATAATCAATTTATCAACAGTAGTCCGTTGGGCGGAGTAACTCTTATCATCTTACAAAAGTGTATTTTTTCATCCTCTTAAGGTCGGTTTCGAACCCTAATGAAATTTTATTAAAAAAATATATATCAACAGTAGCAATGCGTGCAGCACTTAGCGGTTTATTGACCCCTCCTTGCAAGCTGTACTTAGGACTACCAAGATTTGGATTCTAACCCTACGTCCCCTCTCTTTTTTTCTTGAAAAAATTTTTCATTATTCAAAAAAAAAAAATCAACAGTAGCAATACTTTGCAGTGGTAAAATTATCAACAAAAATAGTTTCTAATTTTGTGTGAAAAGACCAAAAACCCAGTGTATAAGGCAAGTCTTAGAGGGCAATTTTGAACATTCATAAGAATCCCCTCTTTGTTGTCCTTGTCTCCTCTGGTTGTCATTGTCATGATATATTTTGTGTACAAAGATTAATAGTCAATTTATCAAGCAATGCTTTGCGGTAGTAAAATTATGGCAAAACCATAAGTTAATCCCCTGAACTAATCCCAGAATCGCTATTAAGCCCCTAGACTTTAATTGATGCATATAAGCCCTTAAACTCTGGAATCAAAGCAATTAAGCCCTCTTCTTATGCCAACTTAACTGTCATTTTGGTACTCCGTCGCCTGGCTTAACTGCCGTTTGGAACACACCCGCTTGGCCGCTTGGATGGCAAAATATTGCCATGTCATGCTTATATGACAAGGGATTTGACATTTGAGTGGGATTTTTGAGTTATTTGATCATTTAATTTTTTGATTTAAATAAATTTTAAATAAAATAGTCATATATTTGGGTAAAAATATTATTTAAATAAAATTTTAAATTTAAATTTAATAAATATAGTAATAGATATTAAAAAAAAAATTTATGTGATTTATTGTGATTTAATTTTAAATTAATTGATATTAATATAATTTTTAAATTTTAAAAGTTTAATATAAAAAATAGTATCACTTAAAATGATAAACTTATAATTATAGAATACATGATATTAAATAAATATAATAAAAAAACACATATTAGTTTTAATTTTTTAAATAAATTAAAGTTACAAATTTAAAGTAAATACTTCATTTTATCTAATTAAAACTCAATTTAAAATTCAAAAGTTTATCTTATTAAATATTAATATTTAGATTTAGAAAATGATTTCATTTTAATATACAATTAATTTTTAAATTTAGATATCAACATTTAATAGGGTAAATTTTTTAATTTTGCATTGAGATTTTAGTTTCTAAATAAAAGTTAAGATTCTAAATTTTTTAAAAAAAATCATAATTGATTATAAAATAAATATTAAATAAATATATATAGTATT